AGCCAAGTGATCCATTTGTCTTGTGTCTAACCCATGGGGCAGGGTAGCCAAGGACAATGTAAAAGCCATGAGGGTTAATCCTCTACAATTTCTGTTCACTTGTTAAGAGACATATAGGAAACGACATATAACTGTATAATAGTGTTTTATGTGTTCTTATTAGGGATCTTATTGAGAATTCTTAACAGGTTTGGAAACACAGTGGACATTAACATGCACAATTATCTTTCCTGGTATATCTAGCAACTTTAAAAATTATGTCTGGGTTCCCAGAATTGCTTATTTTCAAGTTTCTTTCCAAAATGAAGGTATCCTAAAGGACCACAATCTAAGATTTCCTCTTGGTTTCCTGAATTATCAGTAATAATAATATATTTTCAAAAGGACTAGCATGGTAGACACAATGCCTCTGTACAGTGATACACTGAAATATCTATTAAATAGCTGGTCCTGTGTTACTAAGCTAGGTGACAAATTATTGATACTTTGTTTTTATTTTGAAATCATTAGATTATTCTGGGTACATGCACCTGTTGGACATTTTGAATTGTAGAGTGTCATGTAAAGTTTTAGAACTGCAAAGAACAATATTCCTCAATGCTGGTCCAGAATGAATAGTGTGTTCTACTTTCAAATATAATATTTTATTTGGTTAATGTAGTTGTACAGAGAAATGACTTCCATATAAATTTGTTCAATTCAGTAAGGATACATACTCGAAGGCTTGGAAAGTTACATTTGTTCCTGGGAGAATAACCTATCTTTTTTTTTTTTCCTTTTTGTCTTTTTTCATGACCGGCAATGGATCGCAACCCTCAGTGTCGCGCCCGCACCGGACCGGGACCGGCAACGGAATCGCAACCCTCGGTGTTGCGTCCGCACCTCACTCAGCCAGTGAGCAGGAACCGGTCTGTATGTGGGATCCAAACCCTCGGCGGGAGCGCCACCGCGCTCCCAAGCGGTGCACTGTAGCAGTGCGCCACCGGGCCGGCCCCGAGAATAACCTATCTTTTAACATTCATAGTGCTTTTTCTTTAGAGTCATATTCAGATGTCAGAACATCTGTGACCATCACCCCTGGTAACCATCAGAAAAAATAATTTCTTCTGTTTAGTGTTTCAGGAAATAGTTGTATATTTCTGTAACTTTTCTCAAACAATATATAGCACCCTTGAATTTGTAGTTTTAATCTCCCATCTTAGAAACTGTGTATGGCTTTTAGGACTTGTTTACTCCTGGTTATTCCCAAGAAATCATTCATAAATGATCATTCAGTATTTTAGAATTTTTATTTAAGAAGTTAAAATTATAAATGGGCCCATTTAAAATGGGTCCATTTAGAATTTCCATAAACAAGCAAATGAAATCAAGTTCCAAGTAAATGATACTCATTAAGTTGATGACTTTGTATAAAATAACAAAGAGAGGACTATAGAAGGGCTATTATTTTCATGTATTGTGTTGAATATAATAAGGAAATGGGTATCATAAACCAGAAATTTGTTTTATTCTAATGCCATTTTAACATTTATACACTTACTTAGAGACATCTCGCCTGTAAAAATTGATCTGTCAGCAAGTTTGCTGGAATATCTTTCTCAGACCTGTAAGAGACTCTGTTCCTAAGAAAGACTGCGAAGTAGTTCCACTTTTAAAAAGTAGTAATGATATGGAATTAATAAAGCATGATAAGCATAGTGCAGAATGTGAATTTTGAAATTAGTACAGTACTTCTTCCTGAAAAAGCTTTCTACAAGCAATCTGACTCTTTATGCAACATTACTATAGGAAGTTTATCTAAAGTATACAAGAACTTGTAACAACAAAAAAGCTGTAACATCAGAAAACTTGGCCAGTTTGAGGAAATGAATCCCATTTATAAAAACTAAAGAAAGGTCATCTAGATCCACAAATCTAAATTCTCGAACCATAGTCCTCTAAAGGGGCCCTGACTGGGCTTTAGGGGACCCATAAGCAACATGAGCAAGAGCTGACAAGTGCATTCTTCTGCCAAGCAGGAAAAATCAGAGCTTATCTGATTTTCTGGGTGGTCAGTACTATAAAAGCTTAAAAATCTCTGAGTCCTAGAATACGAAATTTCAGCTCTTCATCCTCAGCAGTTAACACAGAACCTCAATCATGTTAGGTACACAGTATATTTTGGTTAAGAAAACACGTAATTCCAAGGAAGAGGGAAATTACAATCAATTCAGTAGACTCAAAGAATATGTTATGGGAAACTGTCTCAGTCTCTTCTCTTTTAAGATGTCACATCCTTGGGACATAACAAGCTAAAGCAGTGGTTCTCAACTGCAGGTGAATTTGCCCCTTTAGGGAAAATTTGGCAATGTCTAGAGAAATTTGTCACAAGTGGGAGGCAGTGCTACTGGCATCTAGTCAGTAGAGGCCAAGTATGCTGATGAGCATCCAAAATGCATAGGACAGTCCCACACAACAAAGACTCATCCAGCCAACAAGGTCACTAGTGCTGAGGTTGCAAGACCCTGGACTACAGTAACTACACTATAAAACCAACCTGGAATGTCTCCTGAATGCAACTAGTTGATCTCTGTGAATCTCAAAAAAATATTCATCAAAGGTGGTAGATAACAATGTGATACTACAGATTTTGTACTCAAAGCCCGATCTTTTCTAACTCTTAAGATGTCTTGATAATTAAGATATGGAATATCAATATTCCAAAGTGACATTTAGAGAAATTATATACTTCCTTCTTAAGATAAAGCTAAAAACCTGCTTATGAAACATAGGAAATCTGTCCAAACATGCTATCTTGGCTTTCTTATTTGTGATCCCATCACAATTTCTTTTTACTGTTGAGAAGATTTACAGGCAAACATATGGGCTATATGGTATTTTAATGCATTTTTCTGCCTAATATCTTAAGTGTGATATTAACATAATTTCTGAGAAGATGTATAATCTTCATGATAAAATTATATGGATTATGCAAGGGACTTTATGGGAACATTCTTTTGATGTTGTAAAACTGTAACTCTTAAACACAAACTATGCAGTACAGAACCCTGAAAGATCGAATAAGCACATGATGAAATATACAAAACATCTGCTACAACTTCTGGATTAGATGCGGACTAGTAACATTATATGTATGGATTTTCATTTCCTAGTAGACCTTTGAAAAGAAAAAGAAACTCAACCCACTGTTCAGCTCCTCATTTACCTCTCTCCCTCCACTCTCCCAATTTAGAAATGTTCATGCATTTTGAGGACAAATTCAGGAGTTGGAAGAAAATAAGAGGAAATCATGGAGAGTAAGAGACCTTCCAAAGTGGTAAACCCAGGCAAAAAATGAGGTATCTGAAACTGAGAGGCTTTGATTGTCTAGTATAAATTTGGACCTACTAACTGCAATAAGATCTCACAATAGTGTCTGGTAGGTAACTCAGAAAGCATTAGCAAGGTAACTGGAATTCATGACTAATCTGTGAGAAAGAATTTACCCTGTTAAACAGGATTACTTTTATACACATAACCAAAATCAAGAGTGAGTGAAAATACTGAAAGTTGGAACTATGCTTGAAATCTCTATTGATTCTTTTCTGGGTGAAGTTACCAAATGACAAGTATTTTGTTATTTCAGTGACAGCCTGACTGGATTCCACTTTGGGCAGTAGTTACACAGCAAGATGACTCTTCTATAATTTGACTTTGGTATTTTGGTGTCTCGAGTGACTATCAAGAGAGGCTAAAAGTTTAGTCTAATAAAAATCTTCTTTCCTCTTACACAACTTTCCACCTTCATCTGATACTTTGAGCAGGTTACCTAACCTCTTTATCTTGGTTTCCACACTGATGCAATGGGCACAATAACAGCACTTCCCTCATGAAGTTATTGTGAGGGTGGAACAAGCTTGGAACATGCCTGGCCCTGAGTGAATGCTCCACAAACACGGTGATCCCTGTTTTCCTCTGCTCCTAATAGGGACAGTGATCTATCTGGATGCTATACCACTTTCAACATCACTTTGATGGCCTTGAAGTCATGAAAAGTGCCTGTCTCTGCCCCTGTCTTGGGCTTCTGAAAGTCAATGATTGTTTCTTATTTGTCTTTGCAACCTCTCTCTTTAGAACTGTGACTTGCTCATAGAAGTTCAATAAAAAAATATTCGTTATCACCTTCTCATAAATGTCTATCGACAGATGACTGGATGAAGAAAATGTGGTATATATGCACAATGGAATAATACTCAGCCACAAAATAGAATGAAATCTGCTATTCAGAGCAACATGGATGAACTTGGAGAAAATTATGTTAAGTGAAATAAGCCAGGCAGGGAAAGAGAAATACCACATGTCCTCACACTCATAATTGGGAGCTAAAAAAGAAACAGAAAAAAGAAACAACAAACACATTGAACTTTCAGAAGGAGAGAACAGAACTGTGGTTATTGGGGAAGGAGGGGTGTTGGGAGAAATTGGTTAGCAGACACAAAGAATTACCTTTTGTAATGATGAATATGCCAACAATCCTGATTTGATCATCACATACTGTACACAAATACTGACAGCCAATTCTGTACACAAATATGTATAATCAATTATGTTTCAATAAAAATAATTCATATTTTACATTGACAGTACATTCCCTCCTACTTACTCCAATATTGCTTTCTTCTTGCATACTGCCCTTAAATGTTAAGTATGCCTATTTTAGATTTATGTGACCTATTTTTATTCTTGAACAAATACCAAGGTTGTCCAATTATTTCCTAACTGACCTAAAATTAGGAATAGTCTACTTTTAAAATGCAACGGTATTTCAAAAAGTTCATTAAAAGATAATATGAATCTTTCCATGAACTCTTTGAAGTACTCTAATACGAAAGAATGGAACTGATTCCAAGAATGCCTCAACTTTCAAACTATGTCATCACAGCTTTGGATGTCAAAGTAAAAACCATATTTCTCAAGACTGAAAAAAGCAATATTCCCTTTGAAGATGGGTGGTGACTTACTCTTTTAGTCAGCTGAGTATCCATCATGAAATTGTGCACATGTTTTTCTGCTTTGGTAAGTTCTAGCTTCCTTGCCACTACAGCTACCACCAGGGCTGTGCAACCAGCACCCTGAAAAGGAGAGAAGAGAACCCCAAAGAGTTACTACTTTCTTTCTTAGCCACATTAGATAATGTTTTGCACCAAATGCATAAATTTCTCAAGACAAAAAGTTGTAGTATTCAGTGTCTTCAATACTATTACAGAAAATAAATGTCAAGTAATATACCTTTAAATTGGGATTATAAAACAATTCATATATTTTAAGAACTATAGCATGATATTTGAATAAAACACATTTCTATGATAAGAAATAAATTGCAAAAAAGTAACAGTGTATTTTCAGAGAGTTCTTAAAAAACAAAGCAAATCATTTATATGCCTATAATTGTAATAGGAACAAATAAGAAATGAACAAATTAGCATAAATGAATGGAATACAAATAAGAATTTTTCTCTAAAGAATAACACTCCATAATCTCCCAAGGTGAAACCAGCAGGCCTTCAGGCCAATCAACTGTAATGTACCAGGAATGAAAGAGATGAATTATCTCAGCATACACACAACCTGACTGTTCCACGTATATAACAGAAAGGATCACAGGAGGAGCACAGTGATGTGAATCTGGACAACAGAGATACATGATGTGCTGAAGGTAAGGAATAACTATTCTACTATTTTAGAGGTTTACTAGTACAAGGAAAGGCCTGGGTCACTTCCTTTTCCAATTATATGCCATTGTGTTGATCTCTTGGAAAAAGAAGTGTAACACTGATATCCCAAAGATTACAGTCCTCCCCCTCTTTGATCAAGGTGTACTTGTTCCAAGTTGTAAGATGTGGGCGTCTTCTTTGCTGAAAGACCAGTGACTACATACATGGGTTGGAGGCCTGTAACTTAAAGCATATCCATAAATATAAAATTTTATTCCTAAAATCTTTAAAGATACAATATAATGTTTAAAAAGGCAAGTTAGAAAATGGTATACACAATATGCACCCTATTTTATTTTTTAAAAAGAATTCACATTAGAGAAGGAAAAAAAAAACTGGGCAGAAATAAGCTCAACTGTGAAAAGAGGTCATCTCTGTAGTTGGAATATTGGTGATTCATTATAGAATCATTTTTACGTTTATTTGAATTAATAGTGTGACTTAGCAATTCAGTAATAGACCAAAGAGTAATTTTGGGGGCTTACTGAATGAGTTGGTGCAACAAATCTGGGAGGAGGGACAAGAGTAAGGAGAAAAGGGGAAAACAAATACACTGTCTTGCCACAGCCTGATAATTATAATCATGAGACACGGCCTTAATGATGAGCTGATATTGTTTAAATATATTTCCAGAGGGTTTGAATATCCTCCTCCATCTAATTCTAGGAAGAAATCAGTATCCTCAGAAATGGAGTTCTACTAATTATATGATCAGAGAAAGAGACTAGAAGGTATTTAAACATTATCTGGTTTAACCCTCTGATTTTAGAGATGAGACAGCTAAAGCAGAGTTATTTTTCAGTTATGAACCTTATTTAACACTGATATATTTCCTACCCTTTACTTCATTTTATAATACCTACATCTGTATTTAGGGTCACATGTGTTCTTATTTGTAGTCATTTTCATATCCATGATGCATTATGTAGCACTGTATTTTAAAACAAATCAAATTCAAATTCATCTTATTTTATATGATAAACTCTTAAAGTGTGAATGTATAAAAATTGAGCAATATGGTTAATTAACTAAATAAGTCAACATTGTTCCTATTTTATAACTGGTGCAACTTATAAATCAGTAGTCCTCAACCTTGACTGTGACCTAGAATCACTTGAAGAATTTGTAAAATAAACAAAAGTCCCAATGCTGAGACCAACCTAGTAATTCCTAATATCAAGAGATAAAGCCCAGGTGTCTGATTTTTTTTTAAAGCTGTCCAGGTGACTCCATCTTAGAGTTTCTTCTTTAGATGAAGAAGGCTATGGGGAGATTATGGCAAATGTCATAAACTACTTTGTATCAGAACAAGAGTTACGGTTCTCATCAGAGTCATCTCACTTACTTATGAAGACCTTTATGAAATAATAAACAAGGAACATAGAAACAGTGGGGGGTGAGAGTTATCCTGATACTTTGTGCCATGTGCAGACAATGAAAGCAAGGTGACTTTAGAGCTAGATGCCAATGAAGTAAAAGAACAGCCTTTGGAAGCATCTATACCCATTTTGTTGACTTTCAAACATCTACTACTCTACTACAAAACCTAAATAGTTACAGCAGACCGATGAGGGGCAGACAGAATCAGTGGCCACCCACAATAGCCATCTGAACCTCCCCACTGTAAGGGACAGCATTTGCTCGACAAATGCAGGATCACCTGTTGCAGGTATGCTCCCAGCTACTCCTCAGTCAGTGAATCCTCTGAGATTCAGGGTAGCAAAGGTTCTTTAATAGGCAGAGAATGTAAAAATCTGAGGGGCTCCTAACTGCTAGAAAGAGAGCTATGAGAGAGCGGTTGGCAGAAGAAGTTGAATATTGTTCTCCCCCGGCAGGTGGCCACTGCTGAGATCCTCTGGAAAGAAATCAAAATCCTAACAGGAGTGGAAAATCACTGGTATCAAGAGCCTTTGGAAGTTGGTTTTTATCTGTGTTTATTCTTGGGCTCTATTCTTTGTGTTGCTGGTCCATTTCTCACTGAGTATTCTCTCACTCACCAAGGATGTGTGTACTAAAGTGAGTACTTTTGTTGAAAATTGAGAGCAAGTGAATCTGACAATTTAGTGATGATGGAAACTATCACCTATATACCTTACTCCATTATCCTAACTGTACCCCTTTAAGTTGTACCTCCAGAGCCACTTAGAAACCTCCTTTTGTTCAAATACAAAGCCCTTAACTCCTTACATTTGTCTTATTTTAATTAAGGAATCCATAAACTTATTCCTCCCCAAGTTCTTAACAAAACATAAGAAAATTTGATATGATATAGAATCACGATACCAAAAGGTAAATTTTATTTTTTAGAATTATGCAAAATGAAGCTGGCTCACTTCCGAAAGCTTTCTAGGTTCAAGGTAAATTCCTGCCAATACATCAGTGGTTATAGTAATTTAAGTAATGGCAAAATATTATTGTCCACTCAGTGTCTATTTCCAGGACCATTCTGTTTCCTAAAGTGGATAAGAATGAAAGTAAGTATACTTTTACAACATTTTCTCCAAAGCTTGTCACCACCACGATCCATATGGAAACAGTTGGGATTAACATATGCTACTCTCTGAAATTAAGATCCCTGTATGCCTTTAACATGATGAGTCATACTCCCCTCACCAAAGTCAGAAAATTTTTCTTCCATTTCATTTATGTTCTTAGGGAAAAATCTAAGCAGATCACTAACCTGCCACTTCAAGATGTTTTGACACCTAAAAACAAAGCAAGAAAATGCAATGTGTTTATGAGGCCAAAAGCAAGGTTTAGGTCTCCCTTGGCTGATTTACCACGAGAGAAAAATGAATTGAAGAGGAAGGGGGAGAGGTAGCAAGACCCTGCCTTAGAAAAGATGAAGTAATGACAAGCATCGTTAAAGCACAGTACCCTAAACCAGATCAGACTGAAAAAATGACAACCAGACAGCATAAACTATAGTTAAATCCCAACACCTGGAGAGTCTCAGCAGAAGCCAAATTAAAACGTAGTGCTTTTCTCCACTGTATCCTTCTCCATTATAGCACAGAAATTGTGAGCTATGTGGATCACTAGAATGTAAAAGAAGTTCAGGTAGCCCAATTTCCCAAGACCATTTATCACGTTATGTTTGAAAACTTCAAAGGAGTGACATTTTTTACTGTAAATCACCTGGTTATGTTGATCCTGCAAGTACATCCAAGAATCATTTTGAAAGCCCACTTTGGAAGCTTTAATAACTTAAGGATATAAGCCTATGGAAAAGGGAAATTCCTTCAATAGCACACTGGGGAAAGGCTTTCTTTCCTTACTGAAAAAGGCAACTTCCAAAGATTCAACATAACAATGAAATCTATAATTTTCTTTTTGGAAATTCCAGAATCCTCAGCACCATGGAAAATGGCTCTCATAAAATCCACTAATGTTCAAACTAATCCAGTGTTAAATTATCCTCCTGTAGGTTTTATAATAGCTCCTAAAAGTTCAAACTTCAATTTGATAGCCAATTTATTAAATAGACTATTTGTTAGACTGTAATTAAAATTTATTAGAATATAGTTAATTAGGAAAAAAATGCTTTTTACTTAAAAATTAATAAAACAGCTTTAAGATTAACTTTCACTTAAAAATATCAGCTTGTCCTCCCAAAGGAATGAATATCTGAAAACATCACCTATTATTCTGTCCCTGGGGATGACTGACTCAATATCCTAGAACCATAAATCAATTTTTACTGCACTTGTCTGCATAAATAATTATTCTTTCATAAAAATATGTAAAAAATCAATTCTAGAAAATAAAATTCTATAAAACATTCAGCTTTAATATTATATCCCGTTGGAGTTTTGCAGGGTTTTCTCAGGTTATGAAAATAAATAGCATTCAAGGAAGTTTTGAAGACAAATTCCCTCTAATGAAAATGCCGTACCTCTGAGTTTCTTCAAATACAAGCTGATATTTGCTGCTGGAGGGTAGGGGTCAATTTCATATGGCCTCATCCTAAGGAAGAGGGGAGGAAGGGTGTCGTGTTTGAGTTCAGTGATGAAGCCTGGGCCTGGGAAACCCAAGTCTCCTTTATAGTGATTTGCTTGTTCAACTCATTCTTGTACTCTGGGGGTTGGAAAGAAGTCAGTACTGCAGAAGGCTGGTCATCAACAATGAGTTTTCTCTGAGTTTAAAGCTCCTTATCAGCCACAGTGCCAGTGTGAATGCCCATACCCTAGAGATAGGAAGGGCAGCTCTGTCAACTAAAAGTGCTGAGAGTTTAGAAAAATTACATGGAATTGTGGAGGGAATGACCTAAGTGCTAGGTCACAGCAACTTTCAGCTATATTTGCCTGTACCTGGAAGAAAGCAGGTGTCATATTTCTGATGAAATTTTCTTAGGGAGA